ACAGCGAGAAAACGAGGTGTGTGTGTTTATCGATAAATAGTTATAATATCTGCATATTTGCAGATCCTTGATATAGACAACCTTGTATCACCTGTATTCCAATGTCATGGAGGAGCAGTCGGGTTTTCTCTGCGTTCACCTCATCAGCACAACTATTTCCTCCAGCGAAAAATGCAACACTTAACAAACATTTACAGTTTGTGTGGCTATAACTATACCAATGGGATATATGCGCAAAACTATCTAAAAGTTTTTGGACATATGGCCCACTGATAATAATTTTAAATTACCGTGATTACAATTATTATCGTAATTATGATTTTCCCCAAAATCCAGCAGCCCTTCTAAACTGTGAAGGTAAAACTAATAATGAACCATTGAAGAGCTAACCTTAAAATGATAATTAACCTAAAAACTGGAAATTTACTCATGGTTTCTTTCTGTAAAAAAAAATATATATATAATAATAAAATAAAGCTTTTTTCATTTACAGTTTCAATACAATGCCATCCAGTTTCTAATGCTGTTCAATAGAAGAAACAAAAATTGTGATTTTTTTTTTTTTTTTGGGGACTTTTTACTATGACTGGCGTCATATGGATTTCATGCATGAATAGAGGCCCCTTCAAGAAGTGCATTTTATATTCAATTTCATACATTATTATATTCATATATTCATACATTAGATGAAATTTAGCAAATCATTCACTTTGCATTTTACTTAAATGATTTAAAAACATCCAAATTTAAACTTCATATATGGCGTAAACAAAATGGCAATATGGCACAGAAGTAGTTTGTTCCAAACAAAATGGTGCCCAAAGAGCTTGCACTAAGATCAGTCTCCGTCTACACAATACCACTGAAAACGCACATCATGTGACCAAACACACACAGTCTGGCATGCGCTGCAGCATATCTACTTATATGAGAGTTGTGGATCTACCACCGTCAAGTAGGCTGGCCACGATAGACGATGTTGACGGTGTTCCCGGTTTTAAGACGCCGGGACATCACTTTTCCACCGTGACACCGTCCTCACATGTTTTTTTTTTTTTTTAAGAATTAGTTTTTTTGTTAAATATTTATTTGAATTAAATGGAAAATATAATTATAAATAATTTACTTAAGAGCCTGCACTATAATTAAAATCTGACCATAGCTACAATGCGTCATATCCCATTTATCACGTGAGTAGAACGAGAGGAGTCGAATTTACAGAAAGAGAATGGGGGACGATTTAGTGTCAAAACGCAGTGCAAAAGCGTTTGTTTGGCAAAATTTTGGGTTCAAATCAAATGCAAAAAAAAAAAAACCTGAAAACTTTAATGAGGCAATCTGCAAACTTTGCCTGACAAAGGTGGCAGCATCTGGAGGAAACACGACTAATTTATACACGCATCTTCAACACACCTACTTGATGTTTAACTATGGTTGGGTCGCGGGTAGATAAGATCAATAGCCATTGAAATGATTTAGCAATGCCGCGCCATTAATAAGCCAACAGCAGAGAAACAAAACAACCATCGCGACCACAGTGATCACTTTTCCCGAAGTTCAGCTCTTCTTCTTTGCACTTGATTTTTATGAGTTTTGGGCTCGTTTCTCATGACTGGTACGGTACGGTTCGGGTCGGTATGGGTCACCTTTATCAGGCTTGCGTTTCCACCACAAAGGGTACCCTTTTGGTGGGCGTGGTGTACAACATAAAGTTTAAGTCGACGTCATGCTCAAATAAATGTCTACAGTAAAGCTGTACGGGTCATTTACATATCATATGAGAAGCACTTCTTACAAAACATATGCTTTATACACATAAATACATGTTTATAAATGTTTATTACTAACTTTTCTATGAACATTATTTGATTATAACTGCAGATCAATGACAATGTAACATCTGTAAGTATGTAAAATAAATATATAAATTCAACATATATGAACACATACAGCCCCTTACAGTCTCCGATATATTATTAATTACAAAAAAACTACACACATCATACATTTAGTACTTATTTGAGTTCAAATACACACGCAATATAGCCCACAATCAGTTCAAACCTCTCATCTGTGTCTGTAATCTTCACCAGCACATGTAAGCTTGTTAGAGAGTAATTCTGTCATTCCCAGTGCATAATAGTCCAAAAGGCAAAGATAAACATGGCAGTTTGTTCATGTTCTTCTTTTTCTGCGCTTCACTCTCGCGCTTGTCCTTTTCTTTCTGAATGGATCAGATGACTGAGACACTTCAATAATCACGCACACATTATTATCATCAGCTCAATAAGCTCGTTATATCAAATATAGACGCGATCGCTAGCTCCCGGAAAAAAGCGAATACCGCTCGCACTTTTAGACGGGCTTGTAAAGCAACAACAGGATACGGCAGATTTTGTTGTTCTTGGCTTTGTGTCTGTTCATCAAGACGACAAGGTTTGTTTGAGCTTGCGTCATCCATGGCTCGTTATTATATGCATATAGTATATCCATGTAATCTCTCGGCTGTGTATTAGAACATGGCGAGTCCTTTGTAAACATTCTGTCTAGCTCCACAAGCTCATGACGCATCTCTGTAACAAATCAGTGTTCGGCTACGCATGTAGCTCCACCTTTTGATACCCTTTCTCGTTTTTGGTACCCTTTCGAAAGGTTGCCGAAAAAGTGGCAAGGTACTGTATGATTTGGTTCGGTACACTTATTGAATGTGGAAAGGGCCATAAAAGCGTACCAATACCGTGCCACTCAGTGAAAAGGGGCCATTAATGTTAAAAAAGCAATAATGAATAGGCCGACAAGAGTGTATTCTGTGTGTGTGTGTGTGTATGTATGTGTGTGTGCGCATATTTTATCACTGAAGCCGCTCTCATCCAAAACCGAAAGTTGGCAATATTTCGCTATTAATCAAATGAAAAGTTAATTTAGATGAGCCAATATTTTTTAAAAATTGCAGTAAAGTAACTGTGATGTGCGGCTACATATCAAATCTGAGGTCTTACAGGTATCTCATCTCTCTTCCAGACATTAATACGAACGCCACACAAGTCAAGTCGCAAAACTGAGACTGGCACAAGCTGACAGGTGGAATAGCTGAAGCCTTTGCAAAATCTATCAAAATACAGTACTGAAATTAACAGTCATAAATGTCTTTGAGCCAAAAAGTTTCGTTGGATATCTGTAAAAACGCAATCAGAGCCAATGTTATGTAGAAGTTGTGTCGCCTAATAATTATAATAATTTAAATAAAATGAAAACCAAAATAAAAAATTCATTACATTTTTTTATGTACTGGGTAAAAATTTATATTTTACAATAAAAACTAAATGTAGCATGTCTCGCTGTAATTTAAAACATGCAATTCATAACACACCAGAGCTGTAGTCCATGCAGTGTGTGTACAGGGCGGTGTTGGTCAATATTCTTACTGTGCACCATGTTATTGAACTCCAATATCTCTAAGGGGTATTATGTTACCATAATCTATTGTTGCCAATACTAACTTAAGAGATTTCCCAAATAAAAGGTATTTTAAAAAAGAAACAACACGCAAATAACAAAACAAATAAAACTAGTCCTGTGGAGTTCAGCACTTAATCTTGCCAGTGTATGCTGTGTAGTGTGTATCGTGCTCTTATGCAGCGCGTGCTGGCAATTCTCGCAAAACTGAAAGTATTATACACGCACATTTATAAGCTATTTAAAAGCATAAAAAAAGAGGAAAAGAGGAAACCCCCACCCCCACGATGATACCGGTATTACCGATGTTTTCACATATCGATTAACCGGTGGGGAAATTTCCTCATCTTCACAACCCTACCGTCAAGGAAAACGGCCTCTCCAGCATTTTCAAAATGCTCCGTTTTCGTGCTTGAAAACTCCGGCATAGTGTGGACAAATGGCATAACCATAGAAAAACGTATACTAAAACGTATTAGTGAAAACAGGGCCATAGTGTAGTTCATTCCCCTATAAAACATTGGCCAAACAATAATTGTGCCAAACACACCCTTTTTGTGTTCAAAAACTCTGAAAACTTTGTCCAAAACCTTGTAACAGTTATGTAACAAGCAGATTACAGTTCATTTTTGCTTCACCACACTTTTTAAACACTTTTTTTTGCCAATTTTTAATTGGCAGGATATTATTAGAATCTTAAATGACTTCAACCCATACAGTATCCCTCAAACAGAACCAGAGCTAATACTATATGACCTCTGTTTTTCTCCTTTTTCTAATTTATAAACCTTTAATTAGTAATAAATGGTTTACCAGTATCATTCATGGCATGGCTTAAGCAAAATTATACTCCAATCTATGAAACAAAGAAGTTCAACAAGTCTAAAGAACACATTAACCCCTAAACTACATATAACAAACAGCTAGAACAAGTGTCAGTGAAAAGCCTGATTTAAAAGTCAACAATTACTGAATGTGAGTGTAAAAACTTCTTTCCAATAAATGGGGGAGTTTTTGAAAAATGAACATGGTTTTCATTAGGCATATTTTCAATTCACACAACACCACCAATTCCACAAGCAGAACTGGTCAAACTGTCAATGACAAGAGCACAGTTACAGCCAATGTGTGGAATACACAGCAAAAACTAGCCTGACAGACACTCATCCACAGGATCATGGTGTCACGACTCCAAATACAGTACATCACCATAATTACGGTAACTCACTTGATTTAAGAAATCCCAGAATAAATGTAAAAATATCTCTTTTTGTGGATTAAGCTGTGGTGGGTGTTCAATAACAGCTAGTTATTTAAAAAAACCTACAGATAAAAGAAGAAATCATTGATTCTCAACACTTTCTATTTGCACCCTGACAGGGCAGGGCCAAATGAGCACAGTCTGTTTTCCGTCTTGTGAAAAGTTGCTATTAAAGAGCAGAGCGTTTTCTTCAAAGAGGGATTACACAGATGCGTTCGCTGACCTCAGGTTACTAAAAGGGCCACAGAGTTGAAATCTTGTAAACAGTGGTATGAAGTCTTACCAGGAAGGCTGTAATACTCCTCTGCGTGTTCTCCCAGTGGAAGCAGCTTTTAATATACTGCAGCGTATAGAGAATGGCCATGCTGATCTTCCTCACTCGATAGATATTACGTGCTAAAAGCTAATGGGGACAAAGCAGTAGTTAGCAAGATGTGCCCGAGGACGTAATGCTCACAACATGACATTCACTCAGGTGTAAAGAGGCTTTTAAACTGGAGGTTCATTGGTGATAAATATTAATAAGTCAAGTCATCTTTGGTGTCTAAAGAGCTTCAGGCAGCACTGGAGGAAAAACTGAACGTAATGAGTTTCTAAAGGTGCCAACAACAAACTGAATATTAAGAGAAATTCAAAAATATTCTAGCAAATAATTCTGTAATTGTTGATAAAGCACCTTGTTGTTAAACTGCAAATTTTGTCATCAATACACTATAAACTAACACATTTTAAATAAGCAGATAAATAAAAGCCAAACAAAAAAAAATGTAAAAGCTAGCAATTGCATAACAGTTCTAAACAAAATGGTGCCTTAAGAGTAGAAAATATGGCAGCAAATCATGCTGTAATTGTTGATAAAGCACCTTTTTGTTAAACTTGGGATTGTCCTCCGCAAACATGGTTTCTTTTGGCTGGAAGGTTTTGATTCCTGCTTTGATCTGGAATAAAAAAAAATAATAAAAAAAAAGACTAAACTTACGGCACATAAAGACTTGACAGCTTTTAAGAGCTCAGATACAGCATAGCTTAACATTTATTTAAATAAATTTTCAATGATTCTTTTGCTGCAAAATGCTCTCAATCAGGGATGCACGATATATCAGCGGCCATATCGTATCGGTTGATAAATGCTATTTTTAACCCTCAGGGCTCGACAACCGCTTAAAGATATTAACAGCTATTTAAAATGTGCGTTTTTTTTACCACGGCTCACCTCAATTCGTTCTGCGGTCAGCCGCAGCATGCTCTCCTTGGAATTGAAATAAATACGTTGTGCTTCAGAACATCAAACAACAAACTCCACTGTACAGAATAGATCATAAATAGGCCCAAACGGAATCTGCGCACACAGAAGTTTTCTGCAGAATTCCGCAGATTTTTTGGCCATCATTAATTCTGTTTATTTACTTGTGTAAATGTGTGTAAATTCATTTTTATTCAGTTTTTAAATTAATTTCAGTTATATTATTGACTAATGTGAAAAAGTTCATCTGATTTATGTACAATACAGTTTGTAAAGTAATATTTTCTGTCTTTCAGTAGAACTTTTATATGAGAGACTTGCTTTGTTTACCAATTAAAGTGAATCTAATTAGATTTGCAGTTTAAACAATAAATAAAAGTTAAAAAGGTATTACTTTTTATTTCACATATTAAGGTTTAAGTTATGATACTCCCAAAATAATTCAGCAGAAATCCGCATATTTTTACTAAAATTCTCCGCAGAAATAGCAAAAAAGCATCCACAAATTCCGTCAGGCCCTGATCATAACCTTGTTTAAATATCTAGTTAATTGGGGTGTCAAAATTAATTGTTTCTCCGGTGCACTGCAATGCAGAAGCGGACAATTCGTTATTGGTTCAGTATAATCATAACTGGTTATTATGTACTGACGTCATTCATCTCATATACGCTATGTCGCTGTTGTTTACTATGGCGAGGGAGGCGAGCACGATTATTTACAATGCTCCAACTACTTAAAAACGCAGAAACTGTGCACAATTTCACTGCGTGTTTTTGCTGAACAGTCTTTACTGACACTTACAGCAGAAGCCCCTATTTCACTGTAATTGAGAGAATGAAAGTAAACTATTTCTCTCTCTCACTGTGGCCCACTTGACGTGCTGGCATGATGTTTCCTCTTCTCTCGGCTGTTACAGCGATACTTCTGGATACAGACTTGAGCGCATGTCAGCAGAGATTTCTCTTATCATGGATCAGCAGTGATCGCATGGGTGTAAGAACTTGGTAGACAAGGCTCAGAAAGCAGGCCGGATATTTATATGTGTTTATTTGTTATAAATGCTTGTGTTGTTTAAAGGTAAAGTTTATACATCTGACTGTTTGTATTCAAAGACAAATTTGTATTACAAATAGTATATAAATTTAAATATTATCATACATTTTAATACAAGAGTTGTTTTGTTGTTAAGAAAATATAAAACTGTGTTTGTTAAGCATCCTCAATTCACCGAATTGAACCGAATCGATGGCATGATAATCGTAACCAAACCGAACCGTAAGACTACGCGGTAACACCACACGTGTGAAGGACGGGACCAAACAGACAGTGCTCTAAAAAATACACATTATGTTAATCCTCCATCATTTACGGGACAAAGGATTCTGGGAAAATATTCGATTTTTTACTTAGAACAGACTGTTTGAGTTTGTGTCGCAAAGATGGATTTCGACAGTTTGAGACATCTTCTGATAACGCCGAAAAAAACTTAAATTACACTTTCAGTTTTGAACGTACAGAGGAAAGCAAAACATCAATCGAATCTGTTAGGTGTCTACTTTTTTGTGTACATTCACAATGACAGCAAAAGTGTGTGCTTTTGCAAAATACGGAAAATAAACAGTGTAAGCATTCCTTCTATTGTCTCTCGACAAACTGTTTTAAGAAACATGTCACTAAAATGCACTGAAACTCCACAAAAACAAAATAACACAGACACATGAGACATATATCTGTAGAAAAAGGAGGGGGAATAGGGGTGGGTAGGAGGGAATTTTTCAAAAAGAAGATATTGAGATAAGAAAACTCTGGTTATTTATAGTAAGTTAGGAGAATTGCAGAATCAATCATGAGCCGATGCAGGACCAGCTGAGAACAATCATAAGCATGTGATCCTCTCGAAATTAGTTTATAAATAAATCACTAATGTTATGCACTGTGTCTGTCATTAAGTCCTCTGTGCTTAATGTTTAGGTGTTGTATCAAATATTACTTTGATGACAAATCTGACTCTGCTTCACGTGCATAGCGGTTTATCATAAACTTTCATCGATCATTTTACCCGCAATTGACAGCAAGACTGAACATATAAGTGTTGTCAGATTGACAAGCAGCACTTACATGTGTTTAAAAGAATCTAAAATGCTAAATGGGATGAGTTTAGGCCACATTGTAATATTTGTATTTAGCTTTTCGCTTGTACGGTGCTCTAAACTGTCAAAACACCTCTGAAAATGTTTTTTTTTTTTTGGAAATTACATATTTGAACATTTGTATATTACTGTAACAGGTTTTATTCAACAACATTTGAGCTGTTTCAGTTGTTAGTTCTTTTATTTTCATTATTTAAAACGTATTTATTTTACTTGTTTCTTAAACTTTTATGAAGTTTTTAAAATAAAATCAGTTGTTTACTGTAAAACAATCTTGAAATAATTCTATTTATCGGCGTGTATTTATCGGTTATCGACCTCCAAATCAGTAATCAGTTATCGATATCGGCCAAAACATCCATATCGATGCATCCCTACTCTCAATATGCCAGATATTGTTCATATTATTAAGGAATGATGGGATTTCTTTTATTTGAAGCACTTACAGGGTTGTAGAGGACTTTCAGCTCAAGTGTGATACTGCCTTTGTTTGCCCTTGATAAATTATTAGTCTTCAACATTCTGGTTATTTGTTGGCCATTAGAAATCTAAAGGCAAAGCAGAGAAATTGTAAATTAATACTGGCATTAAAACTAAAAAGCTTCTTTGAATGTACTTACAGTCAACAAAGGAATGGCAACTTTTCCCAGGAAGTCTGGAGCTTTATCTCCATCTTCATGATAGACTGTGAGCACCAAAACGTCATGGATGTCCCTAATGGGGCTGAACACATATCCCAATCAATGGAATAACAATACTTGCATAAGATACACTGAAATATCTACAACATCAGAACAACTCACAAAGTCAGGGCTGTTCTCCATTCAGGATTCAGTGTTTTACATATGGTGTGAGTTTGCAGTTTGCTGTTACCCAGCTCAAGGGTACAAAAAGGGTCACTTTTACCTGACAAAGATATTTTGACATCATTATGACTTAGTTATAGGTTCTACTTACAAAACATTGACTGAATGTACAATACATTCTATATTTCATAAAAAGAAGTACCACTTATATCTGTTGATGGAAGATCTGTGGCTCTTATTAACTTGACTTGAAGAAAGCCGACATTTTTAAAGTCTCCAAGAATGTTCATCGGTCTCTGTAAATATAAATGTTGTCTTGTATTAGACATTAAAAAACAAAATAAAAAAAACAGGAGCACACAAAATGTACAAATAAATAAATAAATATGTAACACAATGTAACTCACATATTGCTCACGCATCTTCTCGAAGGTGTTAGGGTTATCCAGTGGAGCAGACTGGATGTCTGAGATGGACGCACCTGAACATGGGGTCAGGGTGACCAAAAACCGCAGTTTTCCCTTCTGTGGGTCCAGCTCATAAGTATATAACTGTCTCTGATTGACAGGAAGTCTGCTCAGGTCAATATCTAGTCTGAAAAGAGAAGAACTGATTGTTATTTCTTCAATGGACACAGTAGGAATACAATATGTAGATGTTTTCAAAGAGCACAGTTTGAGTTTGTATTATGAAGAGAAGTTGTTTTGGGAGATATTGAGGTAAGTCTTGTTATCACTTAAACAGTAAGTAAGCAGTGTTGCTAATAGTAATAGAAAGATTTGCCTTTTATTTCATATTACAAATATACTGACATGTTTCAATAGATTAAATGGGGACACTTATATAATGCTTTCTTTACTCCACCACCACTTTTTTTTAATTTTTATTTTTTTATCATACTCTCTTTGTTAATTAGCAAATGAAATGATTTTGGTGACAAACCTTATTTTGAGACATATTTTGAGAAAATGCTCTGGGCAAATTTACTCTCTAATACCCTGTTCGTGGCTGTTTTTGCCCCATTATAACCACATTTTTTTATTGCTAAGCCATGGCATCAAATAGTGATGCGTTCAGGAATGTTGGTGGTTTTTCGTGTTGGGAGAAGGTAAAAATTTAGATTTTTACTGTTGATAATCAGTTGGCACCATTAACCCTTTAATATGGAATTCTATGGATTAAAACAGCAAATTATGTTTACTATGTTCTGGGAGCTGAGGTGCTCATTCTTTTATTTTTTCAAACATAATAAGATACAGTAAATGGGCAGCACGGTGGTGTAGTTGGTAGCACAATCGCCTCAGCAAGAAGGTCGCTGATTCGAGACCCAGCTGGGTCAGTTGGCGTTTCTGTGTGGAGTTTGCTTGTTCTCCCCGTGTTTGCGTGGGTGTCCTCCAGGTGCTCCAGTTTCCCCCACAGTCCAAAGACATGTGCTATAAGTAAATTGGGTAAGCTAAATTTTCAGTAGTGTATGTGTTTGAATGAGTGTGTATGGATGTTTCCCAGTGATGGGTTGCAGCTGGAAGGGCATCTGATGCATAAAACATATTCTGCAAAAGTTGACAGTTCATTCCGTTGTGGCAACCCCTGATTAATAAAGAGACTAAGCCAAAAAGAAAATAATTGATTGAATATTAAGATAAATGTGCTAAGGTATTTCTGTCACACACACACACAAACACACACACTCACACACACACACACACACACATGCACACAATACTCCAGAACTAAAAAAATTTTAGCACTGTAAATGATGATCAACAGGGAGAACTACAATCAAGAACAAATGATTATATGGCGTCATGGCTTTGCAATAAATAAAAATGTAGTTATAATAGAAGTTAATGTGGCAAAAAAAACATGAACAGGGTAGTGGGTAGTAAAAGGGTAGTAACTTTACCCAAAGGGTATTGTTTTTGAAAAATCATAAAATTATTAATAATGATAATAATCATTATAATAATTAATATTAGAGTGATTTGTGAAGGATCATGGGACTCTGAAGACTAAAGTAATGAAGCTGAAAAGTTATCTTTTAAAAATCACTGGAATAATTGATTAAACTAAATGGTGAACTACTTTTAAACCGTTATTTTATAGTGCAATCATATTTCACATGTTTACAAATTGTACTGTATTTTTGATTAAATAAATACAGCTTTGGTGAGCAGGAGAAGCTTATTTTATTACATTTAAAAATCCTACTGACCCCAAACCTTTGACCGGTAGTGTATATCTTTTTTCCCCATCAGTAGAGGTGGTGTGGAAATCGTTGCTGGTCATGATCATAGCTTGAATTATGTGAGAGGAACTTACAAAATTTTTATATATTTTTTATTTATTTATTTATTTTTTACAACAGCTTACAAGCCTCTGATGCTTTTTAAACGTGTCAAATATTGTGGGTGTTGGTGGCTTTGATTCATAAGGTTTGTGAGGTTAAATGTGCCTGAAGTTAACCAATCAGGAGGATAAACCTGTTGAACAGCAATAGTCATCAGAGATGATAGTTTACAGTGGATTGCCTTCATAATTCACACCCATGGGGTGACTAGGCATACTGATTTCCCATTGCTGAAAAAGAACCTGTACTATATGTTTTAAGAACATTTACCACACATATCAGTAGCTGTTTTGAGAGGGAAATAAAGAGAGAGAGAGTCGGGGGGTCTGTCCATGTTTTTGGCTTGGAATTTTAAAAGTGAATCATAAAAGGGTTTCATTTATCACTCTGTACAAATGATTTTTGTGACATAAAAGTGGACACATGATCTTCTGAAAATTTGGACCATGCCTGCCTTTAGTAAACATTAAAATGATTTCCAAGAACAAACAATTAAAAAAACTGTCAAACTTTATAATAACTACACACTATAAATTTAACTCAGCATGAATTTAACTACTAAGCATTAGCAAATAGTGAATTCATTATCTTTTAAACATTAACTCTAGTAGATGTTAGTAAGCAGTCTGCATTTATAACTTTAGATATAAATGCTATAAATATATATATATATATATATATATATATATATATATATTTCCGATTTATTTTTGGCCTTTTTGCCTTTATTAGAGGACAGCATTGAGACAGGAAGGGAAGTTGTAGAGAGAGAGGGGGGTAGGGTGGGGAAATGTCTTTGAGCCGAGATTTGAACTCAGGACGCCCTGACATGCTACTGCACCATATGTGAAAACCCTAACTACTTGGCTATGGTGCTGAGAAATGCTCAAATGCTTCTTCACTTACAAGCACATTTAAAATGTTCTTAATGATTGTACTTTTATATTTTGTTACTGGTTCATGACTAAATTAAGTATCGCATCATTTACAGGCCATTTGTATTTAAGATTAGTTGTTTGATTTAAGATAATTTAGAATGAGTTAGTAAATGATTAACAAACTACTTCATTCTACATTTATTATTCAGGTATATACTAATATATAATAAGTGCTTTAACTCAACTTCATCCAGTTTTGTTACTTAATCTACACTCAAAAAATATTTTGTTTTGCTTGTTCAAACTACTTTATTAAAATGAGATGAATCAACAAGTCTTGAGATGTCATTTCGACAACTTAATTTTTTTATGTTCAAACTTTCTTCAAAATTTGTTAAAAGTGTCAAGGTAACTTCATTTGTGTTAGGACAACATGAATGAACTGTGTGGAACCCTGCATTTTTTACAATTTGAAATGAGAACTATTTATACTTTATAAATTCCAAATAAATGAAATTACTATAAAGCTTGAACATTGCGGAATAACAAGTGTCAAAATATAACATAAAATTGAATAAAACAACAACAATATAATATTTAACAATATAATATGGTGCAAAATTTCATTATTATTTAGCGATGTTTTAACGGCACAGTAATTTTCTTTTAGTTAAGATTGCAAAGATTTATTTTTCATTTCATACAGTTTCATGTGTGTATCTTCAAAGGAATATAAATGAATAAAGTCGTTTATGTTCTTTTTTCATGTTTTGAATATATCTGAGCCTTTAATTGTCATTTATAAGTAATTTATAAAGCATAAATAGTGCTCGCTTTAGATTAGGTCTCAAAACTGGATGAAGTTGAGATAATAAAGCATTTATTAACATACAAATTAACTATTAATAAATGCCTGAATAATAAGAGAAATAAATGCCCATTTGATTAGTTTATTAATCATTTACTAACTCATTCTAAATAATGTTTAAAAACCATCAACTCCTCTTAAATATCTGGTTTGTAAATGATGCAATTTTTAAATTAGTAATGGAAAAAAAACATAATTAACAAAGTATGAAAATACAATCATTAAACACATTATATAGGTGCTTATGTCTAGAATAGAACACTTGTAGCTGTATGTTATAAACTGCCTACTAACCTCTATTAGTCTAGAGTTAACGGCTAACAGATAAAGATTAAACTACTTGCTAATGCTTAATAAATAATCCATAGTGTGTAGTTATTATGACGAGTCACCAAAAAAAGTACTGTTGACCTGTTTGGATTTTCAAACTGCCCAATAGTTGATCTTTAGGATGTCACAACATACTCCAAAAGTTGTGCTCCTGAATATTTTTTTATTTGAGATGTCATATTCCTTCAATTTTATTTGACAGCAGATATCCTGAAATGCAGTATATTTGGGCACTTTAATTCCTTTAACACCTTTCCTGATGCCAAGAAAACAACAAAAGCAAACCTGCCACAGCTTACCCCACACTCTCCCCACAGCTTACCCCACACTCTCCCCTGCAAACTTCTTAACTTTTGATCCAACTTACACTCCCCAGCACTCCTCTGACTTCCTGCCCCTCTTGCAGCAAACTTCCACCACCAGATTTTCCTGCGCATCCTGGAACTGGTTAAAGTCGAAGGACTCCCTCCACTGCGGGTTTGCCTTAATACACAGACTCTGATAGACAAGCAGGAAAGAGAGAGACAGAGGAAGCAGTGTCGGTTTTTTAAGGCACTCACAAAACACAGACAGCTAACATGACAGGTGTATTAAGCCTTATTCAATAAGACATGTGGTGGAGGAGGGGCAGCCGTCTTTCGGAAAACACATCCTCTCTCCTCGCCGGGATTATAAACTCTGACAGCATCCAATTAGAACTAGTTTTGTTCAACAAGCAAACATGCCCAAACAGAGCCAGGGGGCCCAATGAAAAAAGATGACATGAGAATACAAGACTAGTTGGTTGGAACAACTGAAGAAGTAGGGGGGGTGCATGGTAGATGAGCAAGGCATTCTGGGTATGCAAATGAGCCGAATGAGACGCAGTAACAGAGGCATCAGGAGAGACGCCCTGCCAGACACGGCCGATCTAATGAGTAGCCTCTTCTGTCACCAACGCACTGAAGCCTGGGAGAAGCCATCCCAAAGAGGGGGAGGAGAAATCAAGGTAATATCTAAAGCGAGGTATGTGAACTACTAAGAAAGTATGGGAGGAGGGAAAGGTTTAATGAGCTTTTGAGAGAAACAGAGAGCACAGAGGTTTCGAAACAAAGAAAAAGATGAGGCAAGCTGTGATGATGTAATGAGCAGGGGGAAATAAGAAAGCCGAACAGTGTTAACTTCATCTTTTTGCCGTTTTTTTGTGGTCAACATTTTTTCCACTGACGTAAACACTAATGACCTTTAAGTAAAACCTTTTTTGAATGACAAATAATCATATTGACATGTTCAATAACAAATAAAGACAAATTTCATCTACAGAAAAAAATGTTAGATATTTCACCCAAAAATGAAAACTTACTCACTATTTACTCCTTAATAGGGCAGCCCGATTTGGGCAAAAAAAAAAAAAAAAAAAATCTCGATTAGTTGAACATTTTAACACAATTACAATTAATGATTGTTTATTTTATTTATGAATTTTTTTGCCCTCATAGTTCATGGACCATTTTTGGACAGTAAATATGCTCACATATTACAAGTGAGAGATTTCTGAATGAAGGGTGCAGTGCTTGATTTAAAAAAAAAAATTGAAGCAAAAACACACTATCTACTATCTACTAATCTATTATCTAAGATTATTTACTGAACATTAACGTAGAACAACTGAAATTAAAACACACATTGCCCAAAACCAAGTCACTATTTTCTTAAATTATTCTATTTCTATAAATTATTTTTATATATGTTTTTCTTATTAAAAGCAGAAAAAAGCAGCATCTTTTCTAAATATAACACCAGTAGCATATCCTGTAAATAATGTTTTAAACAGTGCATATATTGCATCTTCTGTAAATAAATCGTCAACTTAGAATTTTAAGGTTCTATCTGACATTTTTATCAAAATTGAGTTATTGACATATTCTTATTAAATGACAACTTATTTACATTATAAGTTGTTTACATTTTAAGACTTTTTTATGAAAAAAAAACTAATGTTACACATATTTTGAACAAGTGAAAGTTGATTAAATTATGAATTATTATTATTATTATTATTATTATTATTACTATTATTAACTAATTATTATTACTATTATTATTAACTTTATTCCCTTTGAATCTGTATCTGTATTGTTCAAACTTTTAGATCATTCAGGTGTTTTATTCTTATTTAATGTAAGGATTTAAGTAACCTGATAGATTTTACATTGCAATCTTCTTTTGACTTACTAAACTAAATTGATTGAGATGACTAACCTAAATGCTTTTTTAGTCACAAGAATAAGCATTAAAGATAATTTCAAATTAGCTGTCAAAAAAATAAATAAATAAATAAACACTGAGCGGGAGGATGAAGAGTTTATCAGGATGATCTGACCTTGCTCCTGACCCGCTGGTCTCCAAGTCTAAAGCGGACGTAAACGTCTCCTTGTCCACAGTCTGGCATGTCCTGTCCTTCCACCAAGATAACAGTGTAAACGCCTGACCAAACCTGACTCTTTGTGAACCGCCCAAACTGCGCCTGGCTTATCGGTTGACCCTGGAACAGACAATACAGGCAATAATTTACAGAAGTTATTCATCTGACATTTGTTGATCATAAACATGTTTTTCTATGCTTCGATCAAATTAACATTCCATTTGAACATTGTTGCTACAATTCTACGGATTTGATGAAGTGTTGATGAAATGGTGAGAATGACTTGACCTGGAACCAGATTTGACCAAAGAAATGTTTGTGCTGTTTTATAAAATACTGTAGCATTGAGAAAATAGTGCAGTTATTAGTTTACAGCTATGTATAGAAATAACAAATACTTTATTAAGTTAAACAATGTGTCTGCAAAAAGCCTTTGTTGCCAGGTATTTAGTATTTTTCTAACTATCATTTAGTTTAAGAGGGCAAAAACTTTTTCACACAGGGCTCTGTAGTTTTGGATTTAGTTTTCCCTTAATAAAAACATTTATTTCAAAACAGCATGAAGAGATGATATGATGATGATGTGATATGAATCATTAAAGTGTGACAAACATGCAAAAAAAAATAAGAAATCAGTAAGCAGCAAACACTTATTCAGACCACTGTATATATAAACTCATTAATTTAGCTTCAGCTAATGCGGAAGTCACACTTTGAGTTTGAGCTTGGCGCTGCGAAAAGGGGCGAGATTAAACAATATGATTAGACTTTTTAAAAAGCGAGCAAAATTTCTGTACAAAGAAGTCATGTTTTGAAGTACACCAAGCTTGAACTTTGCAAAGCAGCGAACTGCGAAACTTGTCGCATGAGCTTGAGTATGAATGGAAGACTGGGGCAAAAAGTGCAGTTTGTGAAAAAGTGCAGAATTACACATTTACTACATTAGAACTGCATTAGATAAAAAGTGAATTTACACATTTACATCAATATTGGGAAATATAATTAAAAAAAAGAACAAATAATAAAATAAACAGTGTCCAATTTGATATTATTGTAATTATTTCTACTACTAAAATGTTGAAAAATCTTTTTTCTGTATACTTTTTTATGTTTGTTTCTTAGATTTTGATCCCTCTTTTTGTTATGTAATTCTTGAAAAAAAAAGAATGAATTTAATGAAACTTAAATAAAATCTGCGTGAAATGCATTATGTTTGTTATGGAAATAATGGCAATAGATGTAAAGTGTCATTGCCTAATAAAGGTATTATTTAAAATGTGAAAAAATAATCAAATTATTAATGGCAAAGTTTGATTAAAAGAAAGGAGCAAATACATTTTAAAACAAACTGGGATCGTCTGAACTCAGACCTGCACTGATAATAAATAATAGTACAATATGGTACCTTAAACAAATAATAACAATCACCATATTTTAAATAAATGGCTTTCTACAACAAAATAAATAAATAAAAACTAAATGAAAAAATAAAACTGAGAGATGAAATGCGCAGGTGATACCCAGCGCCTCAGAAGAGAGGGAAAGAGAGAGAGAAATCAGGTCCATCAACAAGAATGCAGATGGATAAGTACACAGTACAGAGATGACTTGTGAGGCTTGATAGCCCTGCACTTTCATAAAAAAAACACCCAGCATCAGGAAGAGGCTGCTCTGTTCTGCCAGTAATCACAGACCAGAGAGCTGTTTTCCCACCTGGCTGCTCAGAGAGAGTGTGACTGAGCCTTTCCTCCATTACAATCACACACACACACACACAGACAAACCAGCATTAACATTTAATGTAATGGCCACATCTCCATAAACAAGCCTCTTTACAGAGAGATAGTGAGAGTGAACGACAGTTAAAGAGCGAGCTGAGAGAAAGAGAGAGAAATATAATATTCATCCGAGCCAAGTCTTCCCAAGTGTTTATTTTGGACAAATTTGCCATCGACGTGGCCAATAAAACAATTCCGCTTAAGAGTAAGTGGCCCCTAAAGAGAGGCTATTCCTGGTGCTAAAAGAGCGGAGGGATTGCCTCCATATGGTGGAGCAGCATGGGGACGACGGGACAAGCCCAAAGCCGTACCCATTTGGCTGGAGCTCCAGCGCTGTCCATCCACAGCTGTGATATTACATCCCAACATCTGGGTTATAGCTCACCGTGCCTGGGAATGAGCCATCACACATATCCTCAGCATCTTACACTGGCATCGTGCCTTAAAATAAGACTACACACACACACTGTAGAACCACATGCTATGTGCCAAAACTGCTGGCCGTTTCCATCTCGAAGACTGCGATGGAGGAAGTGTGATAGAGGAGGAGAGGGAAGAATTGAGAAGACATGTTCTGTCTGTACCGATAGGTGTCAAATAAATCTGGATCACAGTTGTTTTGCTTGAGGAGACACAACAAAAACACATAGCGCACTGATCGGACTGTACCTGATCGTGTAATCTAGCAGGTGTCCGGTTTGAGTCAGGCTCACAAAAAATAAATAATGTTGGTGCATGGGGCAGTTTTACCCTAAAATTGCATGAAAGAAGTGAGAGATTGTATTTTGAATTTGCGTTATGATTTTTTTCATTGTGGTGTAAAGTGTGAAACATTTATTAATAAACTAACACAATTGATGGTAAGTTACTTTATTAAAATAAGTAAACTTTTTTTACGTTATGCAAATTAATGTTTTAGTAGGTTTAATATTATATATTAGCTTACATTAAAATTATTTGTTTATAAAATGAATTTAACTAATAACTGATGATTATGGTGCATCCGGAAAGGATTCATAGCTCTTCACTTTTTCCACATTTTTTTATGTTACAGCCTTATTCCAAAATGGATTAAATTCATTTTTCTTTAAAATTCTACACACAATACCCCATAATGACAATGTGAAAGAAGGTTTTTTGAAATTTATTAAAAATAAAAAATGTGAAAAATCACATGTACATAAGTATTCACAGCCTTTGCTCAATACTTTGTTGATGCACCTTTTGCAGCAAATACAGCCTCAAGTCTTTTGAATATGATGCCACAAGCTTGGCACACCTGTCTTTGGGAATTTTTGCCCATTCCTCTTTGCGGTACTTCTCAAACTCTATCAGGTTGGATGGAAAGTAATGGTGTAAAGCCACTTTCAGATCTTCTTGTAAACATATGAACTAGGACTGCATAATATATCATTTTTAGCATCTGTACCACAATGTATCTGCAAAATCTGCAAAGCACAATGTCGGATTGGCATTATAATGAATCAAAAAACATATTTCAGAACACAAGCCAAGTTTAACCCTAATAGAGTGAAAGACCTATGACTATGTAACATTTCAAGCAAATTTAAACCATTTGGGCAGAAGAAATAATAAAAAGTTGTAGCTTTAACAAGGATTCTTTGTAATCTATAATGAAGAGTACAGTATTCAACATCTGTAGTGGATCAAAAAAAGATTTTAAATTTGTTCTAAGACAAGAATGAGTGCTGTTCAATAGCTCTAGAACAACTTTGATGAAAAGTTTTATGATCTGCTTCAAATGTTAACTACTGTATACAGTGTTGTTACATTTCTATCTCTGGGAAACATCCATATACAATCATTCACACTCATACACTACGGACAATGTTGCCTACCCAATATACCTGTACCACATGTCTTTGGACTGTGAGGGAAACCGGAGCACCTGGAGGAAACCCACGCGGAGAACCAGGGAGAACATACAAACTCCACACAGAAACGTGAACTGACCTAGCTGAGGCTTGGACCAGCGATCTTCTTGCTGTGAGGCGACAGCACTACCTACTGTGCCACTGCGTTGCCAATTCCTATCCTACTATTATAAAAATGATTTAATGGATCATGTTTACCCTTTAAAGACCCTTTCCACTAATCCGTTCAAACTTAACTTAATATGCTCATGAATAAATATTTTGTCCTCACATGGTGACTTGTATTACTGTATAAGAAATTTGAGACATATGTCCTGATGCAAAAATCTCCAAAAACTCAAAAGTAGCTATTTACAAGACAAAACTTCCCCAATCCAACAAGAGCCCTACTATATCAAAACTATAAAAGAGCTATGATGATTAACATGTAAAGTCAACATGTTCTGTTTACATGTTAATCATGCTATACAATGTATTGATATGAAATTGATTGACATAAATACAATATACTAAAATATCCACTGCACCAAACCTTTCTCTACAGTAGTATTTGGCACAGATTTTATTCAGAGAAATTATATATTGCAAACCTTTAGAGCCTTGAACAGAAAAAAGCTTTCCCTGTCACTGTGAGGTAAATATATCCTCATTTATAAACGAATCTGCACAAAAATGCATGACAGATTTGCTAACTTAACAGGAGAAAGTAAAGTAAAGGTAAAGTCAAAAGCTTGCAAGTCAAAAACTTGCAGAAATTAGTGTAACTTTAGTGAAGAATGTATGAGGAAGATGGTGAAGATCTACTGCCCTCCAGTGGGCAAATGTGATATAAAAGATATCAATGTACTAACTTTACTTTTACTGAGTCACTTTAAAAAAATCTACAACTGAATAGAAGTATTATGATAAACGTTTCTCAAGACAAACCTTATTGAAGGATCCCTTTCTTCTTAGGAGCCACTTCTAAAAAATGATTAAAAAAAAAAGATGTTAGATCGTTTGACTTTGATTTGAAATAAGACAATTTGGACTGTTTGGTGTCCTACATTTCGTTTGGCCGGTTCCTCTCGGATGGACAGACAGGCCTCTATAATGATCACTCCCATATCGCTTTCCTCACTGTTGGGGTCTTCCAGAGACAGCGTCATCAGAACCATCCTGCAGGAGGAAAGCACAAATCTTTATCTGTTTCATTCTGACAAGACATTATTTGGGGTGATAATGAAAGTAATAATGAAGTAATAATCAAATGATAAAGTTCATCACCTGTCCAGCTCCAGTTTACTGAGAGGAAAGCTGCTTGATCCCATGAAGTCATTGGATCTTAGGTCACGATCATACACCTGCATTCATCATTGGTGGAAGAATTACTAGTAGTATTACACTATTTTTTAATCTAAAATAATTCATCATTCATGCATTTTCCTTTGGCTTAGTCCCTTTATTTATCAGGGGTCACAACAGCGAAATGAACCACCAACTTATCTAGCATATGTTTTACACAGCAGATGCCCTTCCAGCCCTTCATCCTTTAACTGGCATAGTATTGTTTGTTCCTACCATGGATGGCAATGGTTGCTGGTTTCCTATATTGATCAGAATATTTAGTTTTTGGTTTAACAGAAAGAAATTCATAAAGCTTTAGAACCACTTGAGTGATGGTGAAGGATTTTTGATTTTGGGGTGAACTATCCCTTTAAGAATCACAGTTGAGCCAAGAAAAATACTAATTTAATTTCATTTAAGGCAGTTTCAAATACTTCTATACTATACTTTGAGCTATTAGGTATTACCGTGTGTGTGTGTATAGAAAAATTTATATGCAATGTAATTTTTGTATAAATATATATCATTGAATGGACCACAAAACACTATTTCATCTTTATTTTCAAAATGGAATAAAGTGGGCATAAAAAAGACACTTTACTTTCATATAATACATTTTTTTATGTATATGAAATCACTTTTTTGTTCAAATGTAATGACCAGGATTTCTGCAGGTTTCACCAAGTTTAATCACCAAGTTAAGTTCTTTTTAAGACCATTATGAATGAAATTTTAGACTTAAACGAGTCTTAGACTTAAAATCGAATATCCCAGTTGGAAAATATTTTTACCTCATTAAATAATGATAAGAATTAAATCCATTTAATAATACAATAATAATAATTTAAATAATCAGAATTCTCTGCAGAAAACAAATGGATAACTTTTAAACTTTTAACTTAACGTTACTGTAAGGAAAGTAATAAAACATTATGGTAAATAGAGTTAAAAATGCTATTTTTAAATTTAAAAAAAATGTATTGAGATTGGGATTGTTGGTGATTGTATGAGCATACATTGTCGTATGACTGTATGTTAATGGCCAGATTGGGTACCTAACATAATTAAAGAAAAATTGAGACCCGTTAAAAAGATTTAAAACCTACAACAGACCTATTGGTAGATTTAAGACTTTTTAAGGCCTAAAATTTAGCTTTTAAGATTTAAGATATTTTAAGACTTTTTAAGACTCTACGGCAGGGGTCCACAAACTTGTTCCTTGAGGGCCGGTGTCCTGCAGATTTTAGCTCCAACCCTAATCAAACACACCTGAACAGCTAATCAAGGTCTTAAATGCATACTTGAAACACTCAGGCAGGTGTGTTGAAGCAAGTTGGAGCTGAACCTGCAGGGACACTGGCACTACAGGACCATGATTGGTGACTCCTGCTCTACGGAAACCCTGAATGAGACATACATTTTTTTTTTGTCTTTACTATGACAAAAGAGTAAATTGGTCAAATATTAATCTTCCAACCTGTTTTTTTTTATTCATTTCCATATTGTAAACAAATAAAAAAAAAATATTGGCAATGTGTAATGTAGCTCAAACCTTGAGATGAAGAGTCTGATCGAGATCTCTGACAGGCAAGGAAAATGATTCATTCCATGTGGGATTCAAGTTCTTGTTCACAACTTTGCTCTTGTAGATGTGCTTGCCATCTAACTTGAATTTGACGAATGGGTCACTTGTACCTGTTAAAAATAAACAATTACTAACATATTACAATGCTATGCAAAAATCTATCAATCTATCTATCTATCTATCTATCTATCTATCTATCTATCTATCTATCCATCCATCCATCCATCCATCCATCCATCCATCCATCCATCCATCCATCCATCCATCCATCCATCCATCCATCCATCCATCCATCCATCCATCCATCCATCCATCTATCTATCTATCTATCTATCTATCTTAATTTTAATGTGTAAGATGAAACCACATACTTCCGAATATTCATATTAAGGCTGCACGATTAACTGAAAAAAGATCATGATCTCGATTCAACCCGTATCCGATATATATATATATATATATATATATATATATATATATATATATATATATATATATATATATTTTGCAGCTGCGAAGTCACACATGAGCTGATTGTTTACCACAGAGAAGACTGGATTTTACCAGTTAAAAAATGATCTATTAATATCAGTGACATGTTGCAAGTATATATCTCAAACCTAGTAAATCAACTTCAGAATTATGAAGAGTTGTATTCTAATGTCATCGCTTTACTGAGCAGTAAAGACCAGGACGAATTCAAAGTCTATTCAAGTCCACCATTTCAAGTCTCAAAACCCAAAAAATGAGGATTTAAATCAACAGTAGACCAACACATAGGCCTAATACTATTGTTTTACTATATGTCTGAGAAATAACAATAATAATAGCTTACTCTTATTAGCCTATTTATATTATTTAACATCTACAGAATCGTAAGAAAATTGTGATCTTTATTTTAAGCAAAAAAGATTTTGATTCTCATTTCGCAGCCCTAATTCATACCAATTCATTTAACATCAAAACATGGTGGAAAACGTCTCACATCATGTAAAAGTACAAGCACGGACAAACAGCCTTAATCCAGAAGACTCATTATTTAGCTGACCGTTCTCAGCATCGTGAGGCTTACATTTCATCTCTTTAAGAGCGATGTGAGTTGGCCGATTGTGAAAGAGTAAAAAAAATTACAGCCAGCATGAATCTGTTAATTTAACGCCGGTGCATTAAAAACCCCCCAGACACTGGGAGCAAGCAGTGTTAATCTCCAAAGCCTGTTAAGAAAGTCTGTCTGCGAGAGAGGAGGGAGAGCGGCTCTGTCTTTGTCTATGCTGTGGTATGCAGATTGGCTAGTAAGAGGAAAAAAATATGAGAAAGAGTCCATGGCTTCATTTGTATGGATGGATAAAGGAGTGCTTGAGAGGACCTGCGGGGAGCCTGGAATCACATGACAAAAGGCCTGTGGCGACGAGCTGTCAGGCCTGTCAGCTCTCCTCTCCAAATGAACATCTCCAGGAGGCAGATCCTCCCTGCCAGCCGCTGACAAGGAAACCTCCAGGCAGCTTGACAGGAGGAAAGGGGCTCAAGCAGCTCCGGCGTGACTGAGAACGGTGACGGCGGAAATTAACACCAGGAAAATGGAGAACTGCGAGAGGGATGGAGGGAGGGAGGGGACTGGCGGGCTGCTTTTGCGACGCGGTGTCAGTCGTGGATTGGGGTGGCCACTAATTGTAAGGCAAATACAGGTGCTGGAGAAGGAATGAGAGGGGGAGATTCTGGATCATCACCATCATGATGGACTGACAGATCAACTGAGGACTGCACTAATGATGCCAATGAATGCAGATGTTCTTCAGGTGACGTCTGAAACTTAGCAATAAAATAGAGGACCAAAAATTGTATTATTGTTATCTCATTTTGATTTGGTTATAAAACTGATCATTTAAATTGTTATTAATTATTTGAGTGTGTTTATCTATTGTAAAACGTATCACAATATGAAGAGGATTTTTAAGAGTTTCATTTAATTTGCTGCATGAAAAAGTCTTGATATTAAGTTCTCTGTTATTCTCAAAGGAACCACACGAGGTCACAATTTCACCCAAAAAACTTTCATATTCCTTTAAGCAGAGACTTTTAGCAAAAGAAATTCACTTATACAACTACAATAATAAAAAATAGGGCTGTCACGAATTATTATTATTATTATTATTATTATTATTATTATTATTATTATTATTATTATTATTTTGTGGTACGATATACAGTATAGCTAAAAAAATATTGAGATAAACTATATTATTGTTGTTTAATGATCATTTTGACACTATAATAGCATCATAATGCAAGTACAATCTTCCAAAGAACACATATTCTATTCTTAAGAATATTTCATTTATTTATAGCCATTTCACAATTTAATGATTAGGCACTGGTATCAGAACCTATATCCTAAACAAACAAATAAATAATAATAATAAATGTTAAGTAAACAAAAATGTCCAAGGAAAAAAAAAATTGAAAAAGTAACATCTATTTTTAGTCATCAGGCACACACATGAAAATATACTATAATAATTTATAGTAAATACTAAAGTGTTTTTTTTGTAACCATACTGACACAGACACATCCAATAGCGATTGAGAGTCTGCACAATCAGCTAAAATGCAGTTACAATAGTTTTTTTTTTTTTTTAATCTTTATGTATGGTATGATATATAGGCAGGGACTTTTCAGTTTTTGGAAGACCGAAATAAATTGTAATGGCCCGAATAGAAAATACATTTTAGAAAATACTACATTTTCTAAAAAAAATAAAATAATTATATATATATGCATTCATTATAGGGTACACATACAGTATATTTATGACTAACCACATTTTAATTATTTTTATTGTATCTATTTAATAAAAAAAAATAATTAAAAGCACTGAAGTACGCAATGTTTTTCCTCCCATTTTTTTTTTTAGTTTTGCGAGCCCTGTATATATTGCATCACCATGTCCACATGTTCGATAAGTGGATATATTGATTATTGTGACAAGCCCAATAATATAACAACTAGTAGAAGTACCAAGGAACAATATATTTCTCCCACATAAACATAAAGGGCGAATATATGTTTATTTATTTATTGTATATATGCTACATGATGCTTCAGAAGTAATTGTGATATCTTTTTTTTTTTATCAAATTAATTATTAGTTTGCAGAAGTTATTTAGCAATATTAATGTTTCCAAAATAGAACAGTAACCATACAGTACATATTGTTTGTGAGCTCTGGATATTATCAAATGGTCATATTAAATGAATGAAAGCTTTTCTCCTTATTAGTCACAACTGCTGAATGTTTACAATGATTAATAAACCAAAAGGTTGAAATCATGACTATTTACATGTCTGCAATGAATGACCATTATTCAGATATGTGCCATTTGAGAAAGACGACTTATTTGATTGATACCTGTGCAGCATTTTAAAACGGACAGAAGTCACTGTCTAAAAATTGCTTTAATTCAATAATATCAACAAATAGCACCAAACTCTGATTTACTCATCATTCTGTCATTAAAACCTTTACCAAATGAGAAAGGGGATAAAGGACATTCTTAAAGGATAAAGAATGAAATTCCATGCAACATTTCATTATCCACAATGCACACAATAAATATAAATAGCATTAATTATAGTAAAACTTTAAAAAGCATGCATTTTACTACTTTCCCCACCAGGTGGCAATGTATTCCATTTTATGTATGAAAGAAAGAAAGAAAGAAAGAAAAAGAAAGAAAGAAAGAAAGAAAGAATTAATGAAAGAAATGCAATATCCAATGTACATGTTTACAAGCAACAATTAAAAGAGAGGAAGGGAAATACAGTAATAATTATTCCTAAAATTGTGAGCTTGCTTGTGCTTCAGTACACTGAAGGCTTTTTTGCACAGCATATCTGGCATGCATGTGCCACCAATAACCTCTCTCGGTCTATAGTGTGCATGACCATTTCATTAGATTCAGTTGGCAGAGAGGAATATCACTGGAATATATTATAATTATGAAAAATAATGAGGTAGAGATGGTAATTAATAGCTCGCGGGCATACACCTGTGACTTTGAACATGAGAATGAGCTGCCCAATCAGCTCGGTCAGTCCTGCCAGATACACTGGCATTAGGTCTGAAGAACTGCTCTGGGTATCAAATGAAAACATAGCAATTGTTTGCCTGTAGGATTTTAGTACATCTCAGCAGACCAAATCCCTCTTTTCTCTCTTCATCTGAATCTGTCGCTCTTGCACAAAAACAAATAGTTGAGCGATAAAACAGACAATACTCTTTGCATTATGACTCCAGGGATTTGTACAGCCTCTAGGAAACAACATCTCAACACGGCTCTATTTGCATGACTCTATTTGCACTGCCAGCTCATTTGTTTTCTGACGTTAGTCTGATAAACTGACTGCCATCAAGGTGCAGCATTTGAATGAAAAACAGTAAAGCTGACGTCTGCATTCAAAAAATTCTTCTCAAAATAGCCACGTGTTATTTTTAAATGGTTACAGAAGCATGTCAGAAGCAACAGAAAGAAATGCATACTGGTTGGACAACTTTCTGTAGTTTTTGTGATGACTAGACTAGCAGGAGGAACACGAACACATTCCAGCTTTATAGACAGTTGACCCAACAATAAAAATGTACAATTGTTTTACTCATCATATAATAGAATAGAATGCCAGTGGCGCAATGGGTAGTGCTGTCGCCTCACAGCAAAAAGGTTGCTTGTTCAAGCCTCAGTCAGTTGGCATTTCTGTGTGGAGTTTGCATGTTCTCCCCATGTTAGTATGTTAGTATGGGTTTCCTCCGAGTGCTCCGGTTTCCCCCACAGTCCAAAGACATGCGGTACAGGGTAATTGGGTAAGCTAAATTGTCCGTAGTGTATGTGTGTGAATGAGTGTGTATAGATTTTTCCCAGTACTGGGTTGCAGCTTGAAGGGCATCTGCTATGTAAAACATATACTGGATAAGTTGGCAATTCATTCTGCTGTGGTAACCCCTGTTTAGTAAAGGGACTAGGCTGAAAAGAAAATGAATGAATGAAGTTGGCGGTTCATTCCGCTGTGGTGACCCCAGAATAATAAAGGGACTAAGCCGAAAAGAAAATGAATGAT